TGATTGGTGGGTGGACTAAAATGCCACCAACAGAGCATGAAAATGTCATGTTTAGTTTCTTAAATGATATTCTCTTTGTCTAAAGGACATGATGGAGCCGCTCCTTTGTGACTGTAAAACCATTATTAAAATGTCAGGATGCGGTCACGTGGAGAAGCCACAATGGTGCCTTTTTAATGGATCTAATGATGTTCCAGACCACAGTGTCCTCCTGAGACTTGAGTAAAGCTACTTTAACCAATCAATGTTTGAATGTGGATTTATGCACCAGATGTCATTATCAACCAGCAGAACCAGTACTTACTTTTTATATACTGGTCTTTACTGAAAATGTCAGTTTTCAATCAGGGTTATCCTAATTTTTTTTTTTTTTTTTTTTTTTTTTACATACCAAGTTCGAGTATTTTCATTTGTGTAGCTGCCAATAACAAGTACTGGTACAAATACTACATATGGGAGGTGGCGATATTACTTCTACAAGATTCTTCTTGTGGTAAATTTCTGTTAGTGAGTTAAAACAGAACGGAAAGTGAGCAGAGCTTTGAAACCAGTCCATCATTTCCATGGTAACTGTCTCCTGCTTTCCGGTTAACAACGTTTCACTTCGACTCTGTAGAACTGTGTTTCCATGTTTCAGTAACAAATTAACACAATGTCTGAACAAAACTCCACACAGTGGACAGATGAGGAGCGTCAACTCAAACTGCAGTAGAACTGTAGTAGAACTGCAGTAGAACCCACAACACTGACCAATGGATTACATGGAGTACAAGTATTTGAATTAAGTATCAGTCCTGTTACAAAAACCTATACTGGTACATCCCTAGTTTCATCTCAAATACCGTTAAGATATTTAATTATTTATAGATCTTATAAAATGCTTTTATAAAAAAAGCAACTGAAACTACGTTTTTTCTTTTTACAACCATAAAACCAAAACAGCCGCCATCACCAGCTTCTTCTTTTTATCATCAGCATACCAAACAAATGAGCCTCTCATCACCACAAGTGGCTCTTGTTCCATCTTAACATCCAGCAGACTGATCGATTGTCCTTCTGCTGCCAACATGACATCATTATCACAAATCTCTGCTGTAGATCACAGTTCAACAACCCGTCATCTCATTATTACTATTATTATTATTATTATTTTTTAATTTGGTTGTACGTCCAACAGGACCCGTTTTGTGTTTATTTTCTGGTAAAGTGTGTACCTCTGTGTCTTTTCTAGAAGGGTCATCATGAAATCCGTGAACTGCGCCAATTTCACTTTACCAGCTGGCCTGACCACGGTGTTCCCTGTTACGCCACCGGACTGCTGGGCTTCATCCGACAGGTCAAGTTCCTCAACCCACCAGACGCTGGGCCCATAGTGGCTCACTGCAGGTGAGAACACGCACACAGGGTCAGAGGTCACAAAGGTTAGAGTCGAACATTTCCTGAAGCTGTGATTCAGCAGCTGAACACAATAATATTAGAAGTACAGCTTCAGGGAGTGTTAGCAATACTGGCAAATATTACAAAAGGCTGAAGAGTTGGTTTCATGTAAATTCATTTTTTATGCTAACTTTTATCACTTATTCTTTTCAGAAGAATAGGAAAAATGTCCTCTCTAGTTTTGTTTTGGTTTTAATAAAGAAGGTCTTGACGAAACAAATACAACAGCACAGTATGAGGAACTTGAGTTAGCTCCTCGAGCAAAGATGGCCCTAAGTAACACAGAAGCCAGAAATACTGCACAAACATAGACAAACTAAATGCTAACATTTGTAGCTCAGTATTCAATGTTGATTTTAATGATAACATTTAACGATCAGGTGAATTAAAGTGCAGGAGTGAAGCAGCAGAACTGGACAACAACGGTCAACCCTTTATTAAACCTACACCTGCAATGTTGTCCACACAGAGATAAACAATCTTCCACACTCACATTCACACATGCAGACATTTACCCTCGCCCGCACACACAGCTTGGGTAAATGAGCAAAGCAGTGGCATGAGTTGGGGGACACAGTGGGGGGATGACAGACAGACAGACTGGGACTTATAGCAGTCACTTCCAATTTCCGGGGGCACTCTCCTGCTGCTGCCCTGTGTCGCGTGGCACTCGACACACACCTACACACACATGCTAATGCACAAACACACAGCTGCTCTGTTCTCAGCATTAATCACAGAGGTTGACAGGTAATCTGCCGAGGTGCTGCCTCCTTTCCTTCCCTATTCCCTCTCCATCTCTCCTTCTTTTCCAGTTCTTGTCTCTTTCTTTTCTCTCATCTGTCTTCTCCTGTTCACTCCCCGTCCTTCTTTCTCTCACTCCCTCCTGGGGGATTACACAGTAACAGATAGGTCGCTCACACTTTTCTGTCCCCATCCCTGCTCTTCTAAGATTCCTTCTCTCTCCCTATAACGGAGCCTCCTTTCCTACCTTAATCGCTCCCTTGTGGCAGCAACCTCTGTGACTTCTAATCACTAACCTCCTCTCACCATTCTCTCCGCTCTCCCCTCTACCCTCACCCTGACTTGGCCTGATAGTCACTGGTTTCATCTGCTCACCATTCCTTCCATCCGATCCTTCTTTCCAGGAATTACTGTTCAGGATCTGTCGCCTTAACATCTGACATGGGGAATTAAATGTGTGTGTGTGTGTGTGTGTGTAAGTCAACCCAAAAGCATGATTTATTGCTTTGACTTAATCCCATCGGTAAAATATAATTTACCGATGTGATGCACCAAAGTTTTTTTTTTTTTTCAAATTTGTCTGACAAAAAGTCTGACAAAAAAAAAAAGTAATATATTGTATTTAGTTTGAAATCAACCGGAATTCCCTGGTGTACCTGCAGTGCCGGTGCAGGGAGGACAGGCTGCTTCATTGCAGTGGACATCATGCTGGACATGGCAGAGAATGAAGGAGTGGTGGACATTTTCAACTGCATCCGAGAGCTACGGTCACAGCGAGTCAACATGGTGCAGACGGAGGTCAGTGTTAGAGCAAGAGAAACTCACCCACAGGTGAGGTGAAGATGATGGAGAGTACAACAGAGTAACATTTGTTAAAAATCAGGTTTGTCGTCTGTTCACGCAACTGAGAAAAAAAACCCAAAAAAAACAAACAAACATCTGTTTGACTAACTGTGGTCTGTGTAGGAGGCACTGGAGCATAAATAACAATATAACTGTCCTCAGCCTCATAGCATCCAGCCGGACAAATATATTTATAACTGGAATTATATTAACGCTGAACGGTAGAAGACCTTTGACTGCATTACTTTGCCATGAATGCAAATCCAAAAACTAAAAATTAAAAAGCAGCAAAACAAAAAAAGCCAACTTCAGCTAATTAGTGTTTATATTTATTAGGCTAAAGTGTCAAATCCAAAATGTCTACTTGATTCAATGCAGCTTTCTCGCTTTGTAATTTACAAAAACATTTAAGATGATTTCCTGTTTAACACCAGCTTCAATAAACCCTGGACGATAATAGGGTCATTATTGTTTACTCAATTCTAGCTCATCCGTTGGCACATTAATTGGCTTCGACCCTGAGCCGTACATGCACTGAGCAGACAGTCGCCGGGCTCCTCCCACTCCTGAATTTATACCCTGATTCACAGCGAGTTCATTAGCATATCGTTAGCATATACTGTCACTTTCAGACTTTAATCAAAGTCAATGTATGAGTCGCAACTGTCAAAAACGAATTCATGGAGCAGATGATGAGGCATCTTCTCCTGTCTTGTTGTCATCAAACTCAACATCAGCATCAGTTACAGTTTATTTTGTTGGTTTCTTCTCTGACGCACGATAACTGTGTTTGGCTGCATTGTTGAAGTGTAAATTCTGTATTTATGTTTTTGTTTTTTGAGTTAAAACCAGCTAACTAGAGCTAGCACACAATATATTGGCAGGTCTGGACATTATACAGTGTCAGATGATGTTAATACAACTGCAGTTAACAACAATATCTTAGCCAATGATTCTGGAACCATTTAATGAGGAAGAAAAACGTCTACTCATTTCAACACAACAAATGTGATTCCTGCCTGAAACATTCTGTGGGCTTCAATGATCTTCTCTCCAAGTCACCTCATTTTCAGCCAGAATCTTCAATCTCACAGGCTGAAGTCTATGTGGAATAGGCTTCAAGCTCCAGGTTTTTAGAAATTGGGCAGTGAAAGCATTTGCATATTTTCATGACATTAGAAAAAAGATATACTTTGGAATGCAGATGACTGTGTAAGTGTGGATTTTATGTGCCTTAAAAAAACCAAGCTAAAGGCATGCAAATTTCCTATTTGAATATATATGAGCACAATTGGTGTGAGTACAATCTGCTAGGAGCTATAAAGATCATGCTTTACACAAAACAAAGCAATAAATATTTTAGAATGCACCGGAGAAAGAGTGAGCGCATTCTTCACAAACTGCACCACAGCTACAGTTGGTGTCGCCTTAATAACCTTCCTCTCCGCAGCTTCAAACATAGTCAGAGGCAAAACACAAAAAAAGAAGAAAAAAAATCCTTCAGAATTCATGGTAAAGCTCTTAAGTTTCTCATTAGCCTAAGTGAATGGCAGTGTTTTCAGTAGCCTTGGACCAGCTGAACAGGTCACATGATCGTAAACATACAGCCTGTGAGTCACCGCCGGGGCACTACAGCCGCACTGAAAGACAATAAACCTAGGAAAACACAACATTTGCTCAGCCACCCTTTGCACACGCACAGGAGATTTGGAAGCTTTTAGCTGTGAGCTGGTGGAAGCACCAAGAGCGCACTTGATCCAGAGCAGAGAAACACTTGTGGGCAAAGCACTGCTCCCTTTTAATTCACTTTGAGGCTGCAGAGAGAGCACAGACGCAGCCTGCAAACGTAAACACTTCTCTCCTCGGAGTGTTTGAGTTTGTCAGAGACTTAAAAAAGGCAGGCGGGAGTTGAAGCTCCACACAGCCGTGTCCTCTATCCCAGAGGTGTCAGCACTTGCACACACACCGGGAAGCATCAGGCGGCCACTGGGATGACCTGTGTGGCGGGTTCGAGCCTCTAACCTGTGTTTAGTTAGATGAGATAAGGACGTTTTGTTTGTGTTTTGTTCTTTTGTCTGATCAGAGGCCTGTGCTAATGTTGCAGGAGCAGTACGTGTTTGTCCACGATGCCATCTTGGAGGCATGTCTATGTGGAAACACAGCCATACCAGTGTGTGAGTTCAGGGCCATTTACTACAACATCAGCAGACTGGACCCACAGACCAACTCCAGTCAAATCAAAGATGAGTTCCAGGTGGGAAAAAATCAGAACATGTTCTCATTTATTCTTACTACACTATGTTTTGAGCTGATACAAGTAGCCAGGAAGAAGTAATTTTAGTCAAATTCAATGCTAACGTTAAATGACCTGTAGTGAGAATGTGCGTAATAATCACTAGTTTAGTTCAACTCAGTTCAATATAAATGCTGCATTAATTTAGTTTAATTTTACTCCAACTGTTGTAGTAAAAGGCAGGCGCTAACATGACATTTTCACAGATAAAACTCTTTGCTGATGATGCTTTTTTGGAGACTGCTAATTCATGCAAAACAGCCAAAGTCGTACTAATTTGCGTTTTTTTTTTTTCCACCAGACGTTAAACATAGTGACCCCTCGTGTCCGTCCGGAGGACTGCAGTGTGGGTTTGCTACCGAGGAACCACGACAAGAACCGCAGTATGGATGTTCTCTCAGCAGACAGATGTCTGCCCTTCCTTATATCTGTGGATGGAGAGAGCTCCAACTATATCAACGCCGCACTGATGGATGTAAGAAAGAAGAAGAAATGTGTTTATTGTTATCATTACATGGCTGATCATTTATTCGTTGGTTTATCTCAACTCATCTCAGAGCCACAAACAACCAGCAGCCTTTATCGTTACCCAACATCCTTTGCCAAACACTATGGGTGACTTCTGGAGGCTGGTGTTCGATTATAACTGCTCTTCAATTGTGATGCTCAACGAGATGGACGCAGCGCAGGTACGCTTACAAAGACAGCTGGACATGATTATGAGCATTGGAGAAAATTATTCCTCCAGACTGAAAATTCAGTTGTTCTAGATGACAATGGAAAGTAAAGTGATCCTATATTTAACTCATCACTGCAAAAATAAATAGTACCACACGATCTCCATTTTCTTGTTCTCTGCAGTTGTGTATGCAGTACTGGCCAGAGAAGAGCTCGTGTTGCTACGGTCCAATCCAAGTGGAGTTCATATCTGCAGACATTGATGAAGACATCATAAACCGGATCTTCAGGATCTGCAACATGGCCAGGGTATGGACAGACTTCAGTCCTCACTGTTTGGTCATGTATGTAATTATAAGGGCTGTCAACATGAATGTATAAATCATGTGAATTAATTTGTGAAATTAATCAGATTTCAATTTTTAACCATGGGCAGAATGACCTGTATTGCATGTCCAATAATCTAGTTCCACCATCTGCCCACTCATCATTGCTCTGACACACAGTAAACACATATGTTGTTATTTACACACACTGCAGGGAAACATTTTAATTTCACTGAATCATTTAAAACTCCCATCCCATAAAAATCAGTTTGCAAAAAGGACTGAAACACTAAGCACATCTTGGAACCATTTTTCTAAAGACCATATTTTATTTTTTATTGTCAAGAAAACTGGTTCATGTTCACAGAAAACCATTAGAGCTTTGACAACAACTTGACTAAAAACTGACATTTCTATGTTTCAATTTATTGTTTTTTTGGTTAAAGGTCTTACATTTTAAAGTAATCTAAAGAAGGATTCCATCATATAATATAATCCAAAACCTATTCCCGGGATTACTGTAAAGTTGATATATAAATACCAGAACCACAGCATCACAGTGCAGTAATTCACACTGAGACATAACATAAAACACACCAAAGAGGTGTTTTCCATTTAATGTGACCTTTACTTTTCTCCTGCAGCGGCAGGATGATGTTGAAACCCCAGTATGTCACCAATGAACTTTATGGTATTGTAAATTGTCAGACATTATAGTGGCTCAGTTGGAGGGGGAGCAATAGGAGAGCAATTTGAGAATTATTTTCATCTCCTCATCCTCTTCCTTTTTTACTTCTTCTTTTTTCTTCCACTCACCTCTCCTTTCAACTTCCCCACTTACCATCCCATCCTTTATTTCTTCCTCCTTTCCTTGCCACCTCCAGGCCTCCACTTCCTCTCACTGTTCTCCTCTCATCTCATTTTATCACCCAACCATGACGGCACTACTCTAGCTCTGCTCTATTGTCTGCATGCTCCTATAGTACTAAGTGAACTCCCCACTACCCAACTCTCTCTATTCTGGAGCCCCCACCCCCCACCCCCCACTCTCTCTCTCTCTCAAAAATATCACCAGTCTTGCGTGAAATGGCTCATATCATCACCACAACAGCTTAGTGTATCTCACACTGTGAGAGCAGCTCCTGCCGGGCCGACTCTCCCCCCCCAGCCACTAAGCCATTAAATGAAGAAGGTGTAGGAAAGGTCTCCTGGGTAATATAATATATAGGGAATATGTATCCTACATACTGTATATATATACACATATACATATACATATACATATATACATACATACATACACATACATATACATACTTTCTCGTGTTGTTGCCTAAACAACCAGACACAGGAGGAAGCTTCGGTAAATATTAATAGGTCTTGGCTCTGGTTCTTTCGCATTCCATAAAGTATAAATTATATGAAGTTGTTTTCATTAATTTATAAGTTTTGCAGTGAGAGAACAGTCAATACCTTGATCCCCACAATTATTCAGAACAACAAGGCCACGAAATCTGCATAAATCTGCATAAATCAATCCAACAAATTGTGGTGTGATGCTTGTGTACACACAGGCAGTATTCTGTTAGTTAGGTGTCTCAACCATTAGTGCAAACGCTCGGTGTGTCTTCAATTTAACATTGCACTTATCTGAACAGCTTATACACCGCATGTGAGACTCACATACTGTAGCTAACCACCACTAACCTCTGATGGTACTGCAGACATGACACAGGCTTTGGCAAAGCTGTCGTTAAGCCTGTCAAATTATTTTCTGAACAACTCCCATTTTGTGGTGTACCCCTCCCCTACTTCACCCTTTGCCACTACGGAACTGGAACACTTTGGTTACAAGGAGGCAAAGGTAGAACCCTGCTCTTGCTGAAAGGGACAAAATAAACCAGTGGACCACTTCACGTTGTGTTGCCACTTAGCTTTGGACACATTAGCATATCTAGACTGTTGGCTGTGGTTCAGTAACCTAATCTATCTGTGGTCTTCTCAGCCACAGGATGGTTATCGTCTGGTGCAGCACTTTCAGTTCATTGGCTGGCCAGCCTACAGGGACACACCTCTGTCCAAGCGCTCCATCCTACAGTTGGTCAGGAGACTGGCGAAGTGGCAGGAGCAGTACGATGGAGGAGATGGGAGGACTGTGGTTCACTGCCTGTGAGTTTCACACTCTACAAGATAAATACTAAATACTAAGTATTGATATACTGAGTATTTTTTCATCCAGATGTTGTTTCTCTCTGATAATGCCATTTTTTCACACTAAATGGAAGTAAGTTGATTTCTTTTAGTTTTCTCTCATTTAATTTTTTTTTTTTTTTTGAGGGTTCAAAAAAATGGGTCAAAAGCCTAACACAATTCTGTAGGACTTAACTTCCCACCCCCACATACTGTAGAAAATACCGAGCAGTTTCCTCTACTAAAGTTCAGTGTTAGAACCATTCTCTACCAACATCCACCCGTTTCTCTGTTTCTGCCTTTTTCCATTATGTAACATCCCATAAAATGTAGCTTTAACAGCTACTGACGGCAACAGCTTGAGTCACTTTGCAGCAGCTTGGCCTGTAAAATGACAGCTGCCTCTTTACTGAAGCTATTGACCCTCATGTACAGCACTATATAGGCCTGCTGTTGGTGTCGAGGGTTTGTTCAAATCCTCATACTGCAACCCCCCCCCCCAAAAAAAAAGAAAAGAAATATTAGAGCTTTTATATGTTTAACCCTGTGGTGGTTATAAGACAGTTCACACGCCCCGACCCCATACATTTGACATCCAAGGACTTCAGGTTTCTGAGCAAAGGCTCATCACTGCTAGATATTGATTTCAGAGTTGTAGATCAGACAAAGATGAGGAGGAACATGATGGTTCAATCATGGGTGGAATAGATTGTTGTTGTTGTTTGTCTCTCCTCCACTTGTTCAAGTGTTGTAGTTTAAAGGGCTGAACACACATTTCATTTCCAACCAGCACTTTACAGAGACTCCCTGAGAATTTTAACCAGCAGCACAGAACAAGAAAAGAACAACGTTTTTTATGTAAACAATGTCTGATCACATTCGTTGACTCAGTACCTACAAATACACTATTTATTATTTTTACAAACCAACAGATCATAAACCAGTTATGGCTGTAGTTGAAATGTTGTACAAGTATCTTTGAAAAAACTGTTTTGTTTTGTTTTTCAAAACAGTTTGCCATTAATTCTAGAAATGAAGCACTTACAGTAAACTTTTCTTAAGTTGGAAAAAAACATCACCGGTTTAAAAAACGATAGCACGAACTAAAGAAAATACTGTTCGTCAAAGGGAATTTCTCATACATATATAGTAGCTGAGTTTTTCTCTGTTTGGTATACAGTATATTAATACTTTGTTGTATCGACTTTTAGCTCGTTAAGATAAGCATACACAATCTTAAGTCACATTGACTCTTACTGAGATCCTTTACTTCACAAACAACTCCCAACATTTATCACTGAGGTATTACAGTATTTCGTCAGCCAGGTACTGTACCCATTAGGCAACAAAAGCTATTTTAGTTTCAAATGTAATGTGAAAAACGTAACCCTTAGAGTTCCTTTAAGTGCCCCTCAAGGGAACGCATTCCTTTATTTTGAAAACCACCTACAACTATACGATGTTTTTGAAGTATTACCTACTTTTTAGGACATTTATTAGATTCTTAATCTACTGAGGGATTTAATAGATTTGTGTGAAATACTGCATCCTTACTGTAAAGATAAAATAATTTGTTATTTGTTTCCTTTACTTTCTTATCTTCAATATTATTTCAGAACAAACATTACCTTTTTTGTGAAGCAAATGTGTCACCTCTTTTCCTCAGTCACCTACGTTTTACTTTTAAGGTCAACCAATGACCATGGTTTTTCTGGTGAAAAGAGAAATGTTTAAAAAGAAACATTCAATGCCACGATAAACATCATTTTTATGATGACCCGGGGACAGAACATTCTCCAACAAGCTGCTCTTGATTGATAAAGGATTTTAAAAATCCTCTTCACCATTCAACTCTTTTTGGACATGATGGTTTTCTGTTGCAAAATGTTGAAATATATTTCTTTCTCTCTCTTTCTTTTCCCTTCCCACTCTCCCTGCCCTGCACTCCTCCTCTGCAGTACCGGTGGAGGACGTTCTGGAACGTTCTGTGCCATCTGCAGCATCAATGAGATGATCCAGCAGCAGAACATTGTGGATGTTTTCCATACTGTGAAAACGCTGAGGAACAACAAGACAAACATGGTGGAGACCATGGTGAGGACAAACGCTTTGTGTTTCAAACGGCACTGTCCACACACTGTTAAGCAATACATCCACAAGGGGCAGTGCTGAGTTCAGGGTCATTTCCATGCTGATGTCAGATACCGAACATGTCGACAGTGGAGGAGGTGATGAAATTGTTCCTTCTCAGGAAGAGATCCAAACAGAGAACGATCCTAACAATCCTCGTTATTCCCTGAATTATTTCCGTGTTAGTCAGTGGGTGGATTTTTGGACTGTCAAATAAATGTGATTTAATTTGTGAAAATAAATCCCTGAGAAAGTATTTCATCAGATACAGTTTCAACAACAGATAAAGGAATGAATGAAGGAATCTGGGTCTGCATTCCCCATGTCTAGTCACCACTTTTGTTTTCTTGTACTTCTTGGCCAATGAGATCTATTCAGTATAAGACTTCTCAGACTTCTGATGGTACCAGGGGCCCAACACTGGTTTGCATGAGTTTATTTTCAGTGCTGTCGGGATCAGACGCCTCACAAAACAACTAGCTAAAAACAGATAACTTGGATAGCCAACTATTAACAGTGAAGTGAAAAATAACTATCTAAAAAAGTTGATGAAAACAACCAACTGAAAATAGCTAACTGAAATCAGCTCCGTAGGAAAAGCTAATTGAAAAATACTAACTAAGAATATCGAACTAGTCCACGAACCATGGAAGTATAAAACAGAGAGTTGTGACAGAACCTACAGACCACTGTTTGCTTCAGGGGCGTTCTAAGATGTTCTTCTGTTTGTTCCTCCACAGGAACAGTACAAGTTCTGCTACGAAGTGGCTTTGGAGGCCCTCACCTCCTTCTGATCACACTGGAGGAGGAAAAAACTCTTCTCTGATTCACAGATGAAGCTGCCTGTGGTTTTCAGTGTGTGTGAAGGCGCGTGTGCTGAAATATGCTATATGACAGGACGCAGCCTGTGACAACACACACAGAGTGTACAGAGAAAAAGATCAGCAAACACACACACACACCAGTGACTTCAGTGTGTGTGTGTGCGTGTGAGTGTGTATGTGCTTACTCCAGTAATACTGGAGACTTAACTCGCTTGTACAGACAAAAATTTAAAAAAAAAATATGGGAGAAAAAACCCCAGATGTTTTAAAGAAGTGCTATTTCCCTCCCTTGTTCTCCCCCTTCACTGCCTCGCTCACCCTCTCTTTCTCCCCCTCCTCTACCTCCCTCTTCATCAGTCTGTTTTCTTTTCTCCTTTTAACGTTCACTGTTTTGTCTCTCTCCCTCTTTCTCTCCTTCCTTTGTCTCTCTCTCTCTCTCGCTCTCTCTCCCCCTTTCTCTCTCCTGTTGGGCTGTGATGTGGCTATTGTACAGTATTTTCTTTTTAAATCTATTCTATGCCTTGAATGTTTCTCCCTCTGAAAGTTGGATGCACACTGGAAGATTTTAAATATATATGATATTAAACTGAGTTTGAGAATAACATTTGGAAAGTTTTTGGCTGCAAATTAGGGAATACTAAACCCCGGGATAATATCTGTCTCCTGCAGAAATACCAATGTGAACCAGCATGTACCATATTCTTTGATAGTACGTAAAATTAGAGTGCAGTGAAATTAAAGGACAGTGACTGAAAACAGTGACGATGGCATGTGAGTAACGGCAGCTGTTCAACAGGGGAACAGTGGACAAACAAAACGTCATGATGGACTCTGACCAACATTTAAATCTTTTGGTGTGCACCCACCCTAACTGTAAATAAGAAAAGACAAACCACAGCAAACAAACAGACACATCACGCGCATTATAAATAAAGCTAACTGTGTTTTCGTTCATCATTTTTGTCCCTGTCAGTGTCATTTTTCACACTTCACTGACTACAGTCCTGTGTTTCCTATGTTGCTGTAAAAGATTTCATATATATTTTTGCATATTGGACCAGGAACTTGAGGACGCTGCTTTGTTTTCGTGTTAAGAACTGTTTTTGCCTCCATCGCTCTGCCTTCTTGTAACACTGAAAGGGCAATTACAAAAATATAGACAATGTTCAAAAGGTAAATCAAAGATTAATGTACATAAAACAATTATGTTCTGGTTAAAAAAATATTAAATTATTAGTTTTGATATAACTCCTCAAAAAAAATATTAAATAAATTATTAGTTTTGATATAACTCCTCTGAAATTATAGCAGTTTTGGTTAAGGTTTTAAATAATAAGGCTACGATGTCATAAAATCTTATAACCAGACTGTCAATCCAAATCACTATCAAATCATAATTTACAATTATGTGCAAAACAAATAGTCAAATTTGGTGTTATAAATTATACAAATTATGTTTTGCAGCTCAATGGATATTTTTGAAAAATAACCAAAAGCACATTCCACACAATCCACCGATTTTGAAACAAAATTTTACTGGACTGAAATTTGCCAATTTAAAAAAAAAATCTTTGGCACGATTGTTTTAGCCCTCAAATAATTGTTCCATTAAATACAATTTGCGTTACCTTGTGATTACATTTTTTTTCTAAAGTCATTATTCATCAAGAATAGTTGTTACTTTGATAACATGATATAATTGACAGCATTAACTTGAGGGACAGAAACTTTCCCTGACTTCCTCCCTCCTGCAGAGATTTTAAATTTGCTGGCCCTGAGGTAAGCTGTGCTGCTTTGAAATTTAATTGGATAAACTGACTCATCATTTAAGTAGAAAATTACTTCTGCAGGTGATTGATCATGGAATGAAAAAAGCTTCCATTTGGCCTGAAACTCATTTATAGCAAAGGTTCAGAGGACACATTCTGGAGAGGAAAAAAAAAAATCTTTGTGTCGATTTTTTGCCGCTCCTCATTGTCTCCCTTCTTTTGAACAGACTTTTTCTGTTTTTCATGTAAAGATGTGACGAAAAGGTAATAAAAATAAACCAAAAGCTGTTGTTAAAGCCTTCTCTGAACTGTGAGCTGAGTAGAAACTGTGATGAAATTTAGGTGAAAATTTTCTGTCATCTTTACCACTGCATAAAAAAAAAATTAAATGATGAAAAAAAAAATAACACTTTAATTTTTCAACAAAAAAAACTAACTCTTTTATACACTGGGAAAATGTCTACAGAGGAAGTCCTGGACTCCTGACGGGGTGAAAAGTTGTTTAATTTGCAATTTGTGTTTTTTACACTTTTGACCAAAAGGAGAAAATTTATATATATTTAAAAAAAACTTCATAATCTCATGCTCTGTTCTTTAGTGTTTTCTTCTGAGTACAGTGTCTTCATACGTACATGGACCTGCAGTAAGAAGACAGTGTTGTGTTGAAGTTAATGTGAATGCCCAGTGTTTTGCTTTGCTGTATTCTATCTCAAGTCATTATCACGCTCATACATACAAACACAGTTCCATACATTTTCAGTTTTCTTCAAATGGATATTTTTGTCTTGAATTATTATTGTTATTATTTGTATAGTTCTTATGTTTCTCTGTTGATTACAGTGCTGTTTGGATTTGTAATACTGATGCCATTACCATTGACTGTTGAGTTGTTTGAAATGTGGTTAACATGAAATAAAAAGGGACCAAAAAAAACTCTCAGCCTCCGCGTCAGGTGGTGTATTTTCTGATCATACTCACAACCAGTACTGCGTGATTCAATATGGAAATGCATCTTCTAATAAAATTAGGAATTAGTGATTGTAATAAAGATATTGTAAATGAGTGGAGTTTACTATTTCAGCTTTATCTTCAAGAAGTAAAAGATTCCAACCTGAAGTTTTTCACACTACAGTTTTAACCGTCCAGTTCGTCCCTTTTCGTCACCTGTAAAGATACATCTTTTTGCTTAGATCCCACAGCCAGAGGAGGGAAAAGTGGGCTTTTATGGGCAGATTTCCTTCTGGTTCTAATCAATCAGGGACAGTGATGAACACAGCCACGAGCCAACGGCCTCATCCTTTATTTAGCGGGTTTATTCCCAAGGAGCGCATAAATATGCATGATTCCACCATTAGCATAGGCACCAAGGACAGGGCCTGTACCTCGGCTTTATGACGATCAATCAGAAACACTGAGGGGCTCCTCAGAGGGAAGGTGTCTGTCAGCTTAGCTCTGTCTCCAGTTGATGCACATGCATATGTTACAAAAAGAAGAGAGGAAAAAAGGCACTCGGCACAAGCATAGGTAAAATGATTGCACATGGTTACCTCAGAAGTCTATAGGCAGCAGGTGGGGGTAAAATTAGAATTAAATAATGTAAATATATATATATATATANACTACCAACGGAAATGATCTTTAATAAAATAATACAGAAAATATTCTATTAAAAGACAAACTGGTTTGCTCTTTTTTACCTCGCTAACTGTCAATATATTAAACAACAAAATAATAATAATAAAAAAAGAATTCTTCCCTTCAGTCTCACTTTTACCTTCCACTGTGATGACTTCAAAATGGTCCTGTTTCATTTTCTTTCTCTGACATGTCATTATCCAGGTCAGGAAGAAAAAGGTCAATATCCTAGGGTTATTATTTTAATTTCTTCCAGAAAACATGTTCCAGGGTTCTTTGGATGTCCAATCACAGCTGTAATGAGGACATATTCATGCCCATGTTATATCTGAAATCTTGATTTATATATAGCACAAATTTTGTGCAGAACTGTCAAATTTCGTCATTTTGCGAATGAAAAAAAATTGAACCAACACTGACCAAATCAAAGCTAACGAAGCGTGAGCTGAAGGCAGCTGCTGCTGTTAGGTCTCACACCTCTAACACCACTGAACTCCACTGAAGGACAAGGCGGCTAATTGGTTGTAATGAAGTTTAAGTGGCGAGCACTCCCTCACATCTTTCTGCTGACGCTTCCTTTAAAGATCACCAAAGGCAAGAGCGTGGTAGGGTGAAGACAAGGAGCAGAGATGGGAGGTGGGGGAGAGTGGGGGGTGGAGTGGAAACCAAGAATCAGGATGAGGAAGACAAAAATCATAAAGATAATTATAGGAATTTAAATCAGTATTTTTACATCTCCTGGATTTAACAGTATCTTTCAATGTCTCGCAGCTGTTGTACTGACTGAACAGACAGACGCTGTTGCAGTGCTATATAAAGTGCTGAATATATATAAATATATATATATATTTCTATACTGTATGTATATATATTTCTATACTGTATGTATATATGTTATATTAAAATATATACAAATTTGTTCCCCAGCATTCCCTCTCTTTAATGCGGTTCTCCTTTCGCTCCCTCAGTACAGGGGGAAGGATCACTGTTTATATATGTGTGTGTGTGTGTGTGTGTGTGTGTGTGTATGTTTATATATTCATGCAGAAAAAAGTATTAACTGAGCTAATGATTAGAATGAGTAATAGTCATAAATTGTCTAAGTGATGGTGATGTGTATTGTTCCCTGCTGACAGCAGCTCTGACTTTTTTTTTTACAAAGTGTCTGAAAATTAAGCTTCTCAATAGAAGAGCTTGTGGACAAAGTTCATTGACTCCTATTAAGGAGCTAAAAATCACAGGACAGCAGGAGCAGCCAGACTTGTTCACTGTCACAGAAATGAAAGCAGAGCCTTTTTATGGAGTGGACGTGTGAGACGACTTACTCCTGCACTCATTTCAGAGCTTACTTAGGCTGACGGAGCTTAACTGAGCATCTGAGTGTGTGAAGGAATTCTTTTGTGGAAACTGCAGCCTATAAAGACATGTCTGTGTGTATGAGAGTGTGTGTATGAGTGTGTCATAATGTCCATGGTGGGGGAAAGAACCTGAAAATGATAAGTAATAACGACAGAAAAAAATAAACTGAAAGTTTGAAAATGCCAACTCCAACAAATGAACAGGAAAATAAAAGAAAAAAAAAGTATAAACTGACAGGTTCAGGTATTAACAAAGTTATAGAGTTTATTCCAAGCCATGCATAGAGTCCTATTCAAATCAACTCACAAATTTAAAGTCTATAAAAACTCATCAATTAACACATTTATCCTCTAGTGTCAACACCTACGAACATATATTTTCCAACACAGCTCTTCTATATATTCACCTTCCAATTACTGATGTGTAAAACTTAATTAATATTGACATGTTTTTGTGTCATTAGCACAGGAAACCTGGCAACCTGAGCAGCTGTGTATATTAATCTACAGTTACTTCACAGTTCAGTAAAACAATTGCCATGACAACAGCTACCAGTACCACACTGGACCATCGATAGAAACCATGGCTGTATTAAAAACCCAAAACCATAAACCAGTACAGTCTTTATGTCCACAAAAACCACCACTTTCTATAATGTCCACACAGACCACCAGAGTCTTTAATGTCCACACAGACCACCACTGTCTCCTGTTCTGTCTTTAATGTCCACACAGACCACTGCTGCTTGTCTTGCCTTTTCCTGAGCGGTCTAACGGTCCGGACTACTACTTCTTTGTGAAGTGCTCAAACAATACAAAAGCGAGCGTGTGATGATGACGATGACGATGAGTCTTTGCTGTAAAGTTTGGTCTTGACACTTGATGACCTGATCAAAAGTGGACCATGATTGCCATCAAACCCATCTGTGGATGGACACTCTCTGCCCGTCCCTCTCTCTATCTCTTTTACACACACACACACACCCTCTCTCTCTCTCTCTCTCTCACTACTTTGTCTTAGCAGGTTTATCATCCTCACTTATTCCTCGTGGCTTTCTTTCTTCCTGCCTCACTTTTTTCTTATTATTTCTTATGCCCACAGCGACGTGACCCTTAATGAGCACACATACACACACACACTACGCACACACAGTGGGTTCATCTCACAGCACATTGCTGTCATTATTTGCCATTT